ACAAGTAAAAAGTGTCTCTGAAAATCCGGTAATGGGTTCACCGAAAATCCTTGTTTATGTTTTAAGCCGCCGGTTTCCCGGTGTTTGCTTTTTTCAAAGATGAACTCGAGGAAAGAAAATCGCTCAAAGCTTTCTTTTACAGCCAGAATTATAACTAAATATTCTTTGGAACGTTTTCTTTCTATTTGCAGTGAGAAAATGTCTAAAGGCTTTTTAGAGCTCTATAAGCTTATAATCAAACCTGATTCTCGGTCAGATCGATCATTGTCTCAAATCTTACAAACGTGCATAAACTAAATAGCCGCATAAACTACGCCCGACCTCATTAAATTAGATATAAAAAACAAACATCAAATACAATAATTACTCAGGCTTACCATTCGAGATGCTCTGAAAACCATCAAGTAAGGCCAGAATCGCTTCTGACTTTTCAACCCTCTTACGCATCATGCAAGGTGAAAAACGAAAACGATGCCATCCGAAATCGGATTTCCGACTTTAACAAGCGACGTATTTTTCAACCAAAAACCCAATAAACAAACTAGCTATGAATAACAGAAGACTATTGATAGCAGCAGAATTTCATTTTGTACATTCAGCGGAGAAAGACAGTTAAAAACATCACAAGTTGACACAAAACTCAGCTTCAGCTGTCAAAGTAAACAAGTTTCAAGATGCTGCATAAATTTTCCTCATGAACTCACCTGTCAAATTTTGACCAATCAGAGCATAAAAATTGGACGTAGAGCGTGACCAACGCGTGACCTTGTTGAGAAAAGTCAAAAGCAACTGGCATGTCTTCCCTGCCTGTAAAAACTGGCTAAATTTTAGCTTCCGAGGTCAGTTTGAAATCACAATTTTAATTGTGCGACACGTATAAAACACGACATATTTCATATGAATTGAAAAAAATTAAACTTGAGCCTGCGATCATTTGAAAACTAGTAACTTGTCAGCGGATAACTTAAAAAAGATACTCGACCTCGATGGGTCGACACCTGAGCCCGCGATACGGTCAGGTGATACTGGTCAGAGAATACCCTGTTTTGACAGCTGTTAATTGATCACAACATTGATGATGTGTGCAATATCAGTCTTCCTGTGCTACCAAACTAGCTAGAAAGTGTGAGATTGAACATTGGTTTTCCTGTGGTGCGGACGGACGGGCGGGCGGGCTGCGGGCGGTGTACGGTCACGTGATTACCAAATTTTCTCGGATGGGTAGATTTACTTACCCATGGTGCTCCGCAGGCGCGCTTCGCGCGCTAGAGCTCCGCTATAATTGTCCTTTTGAAAGTTACTCGCTATCCGACTGCACCAAGTGGTGTATTTCACGAAGGCCACCAATAAAAAAACGAAATTTACAGAGGGTTGTCGTATTGAAAAATTAATGAGTTTTTTGTTGTTTTTTCGTTGAACAAAGGAGTAGAGGCCTTCAGACGCGACGAAGAAGACGATTACGAGGAAAGATTTATGCTTTGGGCTTTTTACACTTATTATCAAAAAATATACACCCCGTAAAGTTTCTATTAATTTCTTTTTACTTATTTTTCACGAGGAAAGGTAACACGGTATTTCTGTTGAAGGAGGTTACCCCTCTCTCGATTGCCCGATAGCAAGATCTACTATGTTTTTTTGGCTAAAACACTCATGACGACGGCTACCACGTTTTCCCGCCGAAATGACGCTGGTTCACGCGCGCTCACTACTTGGCATCTCGTAGTAGTTTCAGAATCTAACGGTCTCTAACATACCTTGTAACAGCCTCTCATCTTACTCCGCTTTCACAACGGGTCAATATAAAACTATAATTTTTAGTGTTTGGGTGTTTGGTAAAAAAAAAAGAAGAAATTTCACACAGTCCACCAGGGATCCAATACAAAGTTGTAAGATTCAACGAGTTTTCCAGAATTTCCAGAGAAAGTGTGATCTCTGAATTTAACCGTATCAAGAACTGGTCTTTTGTACCGGATCAAATTCAACAAAGCAATAGCCCTTTGTCCAAGGTACTGCCACCGAAACCACAGCGAACAGTCTGTGCATGATCGATTAACGTTCGGCGTGACAAATTTATAATATTAGGGGGGAGGAGAGAGGTTTTTGCTCTGACACGATGCTATTTTAACTGGGGTGCTGAGGAGAAAGTTACGCCAAGAGGTGCTTATTGTCAAGTAAAACATTGGGGTGTGTGAACATTTTCTGTTTGCTCATCTCAACTACTATAGCACAAGATTAATCTACAAGTGAGCACACAACGCAGGCGTATATATTTTGCAGGTCGAGCGGGAAAACCGTTTCAGTTTCGATCGGATCGTAATAATGTGAAGGAGTTTTATTGTGGCACTCCCAAGTTCTTTTCTACTGAGCGCTCTGAACAAAGCAAACGATGATACGAGTAAATGACTCACCGCCAGGTAGTGTCTGGTTTTCAATCGCAACAGAATACGGTCCTATCCCGCCACTTGATTTGCAAGCCACGGATATTCGGTAAATACGAAAGGGCTTCAATTTTTCAATTGTGTAACGTTGTCCTGGTACGTTGGGAATTATTTCCGTTTCTTGGTTGTCTTCTTCGTAGTATATCACTTCATATCCCACAATTTTACCGTTGGGTTCGACAGGTGGATCCCAGGACACAGTCATTGACGTTATAGTGATATCTGTTAAAGCTACGTTTAGAGGAGGTCCACTGGGAACTGCAAAAATCGGTAAATAAAAAATATATAAGCCACTTGTTAGTCCAGAGCTGCAAATAAGAGCCTGTCATCGGACAATGATCGACTGGTTGTCCAGTCAATCCATCGTTGTTCTTTTGCTTGAGTCCGTCAATAAGTCGTTTCTACGGTGCCGGTAACCAGTGACTACGATTCAGTGGCATCTGCTCGTATTCGTTAAACCAGCTTTCTACAGTAAGTAGTTGATAATAGTTTGTAGAATACTTAATACATCAAACATTCTGATTCCTAGTCGATTTGATGTTTCGTCTGTAAATGCTGACACCACCATTTCTTGTCGCTCGCTTGGGTTCAGTCGGCCACGTGCCTAGGTTTCTGTCCGGTCTCACCAATATAAGTGGACTAGCAGAAGCAGCATTTGTTCTTGTATACTACTCCCTATCTTTCTGTTCGCAGTTGAGGTGGGCTACGGACGAACATCAGCGATTTCACGTCAAAAGACACTAGTTTGTGGTCGTCAGGTATCTGATATGTCTTGATGGCGTCAATTAAGTTCCCTGAAGACTGTAGTTTATGTCGAGACAGTTTAGACAGTTAAGAAAAATAAGTAATCCAAACAACTTGGGTGGCTGCTTGGGTGGCTGAGAAGCACTACAGCTCAGTCTGCTGTAGCGTCGAAAGTCGATTTTGTCGGTTTTCGTCATTTTACTTTTTTTTAATATTTGTTTTATTGACATCATACTGTCAAAGTTACAAAGAGGTACATAATTACGTAATAAGGAATTGCAAAAGATTGAAAAAACAAAACAAAAGGGACGGGGCGAGGTGTATTAAACTTACAACTGACATTGACTACATAACTATACATAGAATTAATCATTCACAATTTTTCAAACTGATATTTAATTTCTATTTGTTTGGCAAAGTCTGAGAGAGTCAGTGCTTCGTTTTCGTCATGTAAGTTACTATAGTTTGTTGTTAAGTTTGAGTTGCAGTGCGGCGGTTGGATCTCAAGTTCTTCGTAGGTCTTAGGTAGTTTTGTCGTTAACAAGTGCGTCCTTTTTGTCATTGTACTCTGTCTTGCCCATAACCAACAGTCACCCGTCCTTTTGCGGGCAATATGACAATATCGAGAACTTAATTACAGACTCTGGGTAACTAGAAGCCGCAGTGCCTCTAAACCCCATCGCAAATTGACATCTTATAAAGGCCAACAGTAAGCGTCCAAAACGTTACGATCGTTAGACATTAAACTGAATATCTAAACGATATATTACTCTTTTCTATAAGCCACGAGTAACTTCGAGTAACGCAAACATGTGAACAGTTAGAGCAATTGAAAATTAAGTACACGCTTGGAACTATGCTCATTGAGAAGTAACAACAGTTTGAAGAACATTTCATACCTGCAGCCTTTGTCATCCCTCGCACAAAACTGGGAGCCCCACTCAACTTCTTTCTCAAGTTGTACGCCACAACAGCAATGGTGTAATTCGTGTAAGCCTTCAGATCGGGGATAAGCCATGTATAGACACTTTTCGCTAGGGTTAAGGTCATTCGAGTTGAGTTACCGCTCACCGATCTCCAATAATGCAAGTAATAGCCAATCTCTCCATTTGGTTCTTCAGGCGCTCTCCACCACAAATCAATAGAATTTTTGGTTGCTCTGTAAATTCGCACCTCGGGAACCTTGGAAGGCGCTGAAAAACCAAACAGCTTTTAACGGAATAGTTTCACGATGGTTTGATCAAATTATTTCGTTAGGAGCTGGCCACCAAAAACAAATACAAATGAAGAGGCGGACGAATGAGATTAAGACGATTTACCGTTATGTTTTCAAATGTTATCTCCACTGCCTTAGAATATATCAGGTTCTTTCTTAACTGTTTAGGTAGGACCCAACTGTGAGTGTCCCTGCCTTTGAAATATTTCCTGTCACGTTATCTCTTTTATTTGTACCTCTTAATCATCACGCTCAGACGACACGAAACTGTGTTGTCATTTAGCGGTAATTTCAATCAATTTAAAAGATTTTTCTCCGAATAATATCAACACAGAATCAAGAGAAATGCTCATGAGAATTAATAAAAAGATCACCAAAGGGGAACATTTCTTGATCTTTTGACACATTCTCCTGTATTAATTCTTCAAAGATATGTATGAAGATCAGTCGGAAGAATATGTATGTGGACATTGAGCCCTTGAGGGCTAAAATAAGAAACATACCTGTCTCGTCAGTCTTAACAGAGACACTGGCCTTCTTTCCTCCCCCGGCTCCTGTGAAGGCTTGAACTTCAACTTTATAGCGAGTGTACGGCTTTAGGTGAAGCAGACTGGTGCTGGTGTTAAGACCAACATCCTTGGACAAATATGAGCTTGATGCACTATAAATATAAAACACCTGGAAAACAGACGACGAAAAATTTAAAAAAAAAGGAAATAATAATATCATTTATCGTGGCTGTGCCAAACAGTACTTTCCCGAGTATTTCCCACCAAAGTCGCCACGCCTTCGCATTTTTCCGTGTTTTCTGCATGTTAAAACTGAGTGCAACGCTGGACCCGGTACGTTTTTTTTTTTAATTTAGCAGAGTCCAGATGAAACTTGCTTTGTGTAATTGTGGCTTTCATCCTGTCTAAATCAAGTCTTGTTGTTGTTGCTGCTGTTATATTCCAAGGTCGATTAACGTTAACATGAGGTTAAATACATATTAATCTGGGTATCTTTTTCTTTTGTTCAAAGAATTATCTCAAAGAATTTACTCAATTCTTTTTACAACATCCAATCAAATTGTCGACAAAAAAAATAGTGACCTAAATTCTGAACTAACCTGCTTTGAACAACCCGACCCTGGGTCCCGTTTCCCGAAAGGCCCGATAACTTCAGTTTTCGGGCCCAAACGAAAAGTTTTAAAATCAAAACCTGTTGAATAATAGCACAGTTCCTAGCTCATAAACCAGTCAATTTTCCTTCGTTAACTCATTGCATCATCTTCAAAATGATTGAAACTTTGATCTTCAATGCAAACACGGTAAACATAACAGCAGTCCGGGCCCGAAAGTTACCGGGACGTTTGAGAAACGGGCCTCTGGATTCACCGAGGTCAAGCAACAAAAAAATTGCCTACGCTAAGAAACCTACTAAGGCTACACGCTATCGATTTACTAGACTTTTCGAAAGTTTGCTAGGCAGTCAAAACTGAAACAAGTGTTATTGTCGGCGCCATTCGCAGACATAATTTCACTTGAGCGCGAAGCGTTTTCTAGACTTTCTACAAAAAGAAGCTCGATATTTCTGAGAAAAATAAAGAGACGGAAAAAAATGAACTTTATTTGAGTGTATTTAGCACGAAAGTACTAACTGGGGACACTATTTTACGTCTCCAACCGAGACGGGACCGCCATTTTACGTGGTCATCCAACCCACGAGAAGGTCTAGCTGCTTGCAGTGCAAAGGGAGTGCCTTCATTTCTCAGTTATTTTAAGACCCTGAGTATTGGCCCAGCCTTGGGAATCGAACCCGCGACCTTCCGCTCTGCAGTCAAGCACTCTAACGACTGAGCTAATCCTGGTTGGTTTTTACGTCCTTGTAATTGTATTCAAAACGTAGAGGTAAATGAATATCGCAAATCTCTGCGCCTTAAAAATTTGACCGCGTAAAGCGCGCACTTGACTTTTGGCGAGAAAAACCTGGTACCCGTTATGGAACTCGAGTATAATGACTTGTTGTAAAGTAAACCTGGCGCCAAATATACCGTACTTCACTTGTTTAAAAAAGGATGCTGATGTTTGCAATGAACAGAGCGCAGTATTGAGCAACATACCTTGTATCCTTTAAGTATGCCATTAATGTTCAGTGGCTTTTTCCACGAGACCCCAATGGAATATCCGCTCGTATTCCATGCTCGCAAATCTTGTGGTTCCGATGGCACTGGTATATTATTAAAATAAAATAATATAGATTAAAATAAATAATATAGATTTAGCCAAGGCTAAAGGCGAAGCTCCAGTATTAAATTTATAATTTACTTCAAACAATAAAATTGTAACCATTGCAAAGAAATCCACTTAGAGTTGAGCCTGCGATCAGTTAAAAACTAGGAACTTGTTAGCGGACAACTTCAAAAAAGGGGGTAACCTCGATGGGTCGACACCTGGGCCCGCGATATGGTAATGTGATGCTGATCAGCAGATACTCTGTTTTAACAGCTGTCAATTGACCACAACATGGATGTGGAATACCAGGTTGTAGGCTCCCAGACTAGCTAGACAGCATTGGTACAACTGGTATTACAAATAGCAAGAACTACTTACTGTCTTCAGCAGTAGTGTTGCTTACGGCATCACTCGGCGGTCCGACACCAATGTTATTCACCGCCTGGACGGTAAAGTAATAAGGAGAATATTTTCGCAGGCTTGAGACTAGCTTCTGGGTTGTATTGTCAGAAGTGGTGATATTTGTTAAGCTTCCTAGAGACTCGTTGTAAGTGACGATGTAATGAGTAATGACTCCATTCCTGTCCAGCTCGCTCGGTGGATTCCATTTGACGAGTATAGACGTGGAGGACTTGGTAAGAGCCAAAACATCGAGAGGAGTGCCCGACGGCTCTGGATAAATGATTGGGAAAACAACTAATATTGAGATCTGCTTTCAAAATCATTTTAAACCTGTCATAGAAGATGACCAGCTAATTATATCGTCATACGTAAGAATATGTGAAAACGAAACCACGGTTCGGATTATTGAGATTTAACTTCAAAAACTTAAAAAAAAAGAAAAGAAAAGACTGAAAATCTGACAGGTAAGGTGACCCACCGAGGCGGGTTGCCTGGTCTGTCAGACCTGGATGCGACTCTCAGCCAGCATCAGATTTTGATGTGTAAACGTTTAAGACCAGGGGGCGGGGGGGGAGGGAGAGGGGACTTTTCGAGCTCCCCTCACGAAAAGGATGCATAACGTCAAAACTTTTCAAGCTATGACCACCAAACTTAGCGACTTTTCCTAAAAATTATCTGGGGACATTTTAAAGTCATCGTCACGGGTATTTCAACATTGACGTTACCATGGCAACCGAGTTTTGGCAGCCATGTTGTCAAAATTTGCATTTTCTTCTTAAAAATAGGTTTTAACTATATTTTTAGTAATGGAATTATTTAATGTAATATTACACTTAATTGAGCATTATTTTATCAAAGTTATTGCCACTGTTGATGAAATTCAGCTTTTTTAGTGACTAGTTTGAGAAAAAACATGAGTTAGTATGACCAAATGGCAGATGCTGAGTTGCGCCAAATTCACCTTTGCAGTAGCTTTGCATAATTAACAGTGACAATAGACAGCCACTAAACTGAAAGGTTGCAGCAAGTGTAGTAAGCGAGAGCAGAAGAACATTAACCGCAAAAACAGCTCTTCTGCCCGCTTTTTGTTTGTTTGTTTATTTTGTTTTCTTTTTTTGTTTACGTGCTAGCGACCTAGACTGCAAAACAGTCCGTATTTTTGCGTATTCAAGTACGCGCGAGCAGTCAAATAAAAGGTCTGGAATGAGGCTGAAAACAGAGAGCGAGACTGGGGAGAGACGCTAAAAATACGGACTGTCCGTTTTGCATACGTTATATTCGTTCGAATTACCCGCTTCTCCCAGCCACGGGCAATTCTCATTGGCTAAATTTCGATGCAAGCTGTCACCAACCTGTCAAGTAATGTTTTCAACATGTCATTCACGTTGATCCATACCGTGATGAATTGCTAAAGCTTTCGCTGTAAAATGACAGATGTTGATCGCCTGGATTTGCTCGCAAGAATTGGGATGTGTTTTAAAATCGGAGCAGAGGGAAGCTTTGGAGTTGCTACTCAGGGGAAAGGATGTTTTCTGTGTTCTACCAACAGGATTTGACAAAAGCCTTATTTATCGGATGTTTGTTCATGCAAAGAGTTCTTCAAGTTCCGTGCAACGGCCGACCGTCACTGTTATCTCACCTGGCTAAAAAAGCGATCGGTAGGAAACACACGACTTTTACCTCATGCAAACATGCCGCTTGTTCCAATGAATTGTTTTCTCTGTCGAGTAGATTATGCTTTGGAGGAAAACATTTTGACTGAGCAAATGTGAATTTTGGCCGCTTATTAAATATAATTCATACTGAGAGGTCGTGACACGCATATTGGTTTTCTCTGGTAGGCATGATTTGCCCTCTGACGCAAGAGCGTTTTCTTTCTTGGCCCCTTTAGAAATGTAAAGCTCTTCATTGCGGCTGATTAAGGGTTTTAGGTTGTTTTATTTCTCCAAAGTGCCTCCTGGATTTGAATAATTTTAAGCGATTTTCTTTGTGTCCGTGAATGTGACTTTTTCCTGCAATGTTTTGTCACGCTGGGCCCAGCTCGTTAGCGTTTTTGGCAGGATTTTAAATTCTCACAGATAGTACTTTACAGAGCTAAATCACCACGACGTGGTTTGGAATGAGGGGATTTACTCATTCTTTTCAATCGCAATAGTTGTTCACTGTCAGTTGGCGTGTTCAGTTCTTCTCTAATTTGCGAAAGCATCGCCGTGCAGTTTCTCTGGGCAATTTCTAACCGTTGTTCCGCACGGTTAGCAAACTGCTCTTGTGGAGAAAGATTCTCCTTCCTCGAGGACAACGAAAAGTTCGTTTTTCAGTAGGTCAGCCCACTTTGGTAACGTTTCCCTTTTTCTGGTAGGCGCAACAAACGCATTTTCCGAGCTTATCCATCCATTCGTAAAATTGCCGAACTATGTTTTGAAACAACAGCCGCACATTCTACGATTTGTCCAAAGCTCTCGGCTCTTACGGCTTTCTCCCTCTTCGAGGAGCAGGCACAGGCTTTGTTGTCGTACTGCCACTTTCACTCATTTTGATCCTCCACTATATATACTACATTTCGCTATATACACTACATTTCACAGGGAAGCAACGCTAAAAACTGCTTTACTATGATTACTGGATTACAGCGTCAATAATAACACGCGAGTCTATCAAATTCACAAAGAGGGTGGAGTTGCGAACAGATTTTTGACAGCTCGACGACATTTTTGAACCCCCTGGTCGGAACGAACTCATTGTAAGGAAAACGGACAGTCGGTTTTTTTTCTCTCGCCTCACACGCCCTACGGGCGTGTGAGGCACGGGCGTGTGAGGCTCGCGCGCTTCGCGCGCGTAAGAGTCTTACCCCACGCTTTACCGATTTCTTTACTGATTTTGAGAAAAAAACCGACTGTTTTGCAGTCTACTAGCGACCTGTCAGACAGTGCAACCCCGGAATACAGGGGTTACAAGATTAATGGCACGTAAAAGCGGGTTGTTAAAACCACCTAAGCGGGTTAGCTCATCTACCTGGAGCTTTAAATCTCCCTGTAAACAGTCTTTAAGTCAAAAAGGCCAACGACTAGTGTTTCATCGTGGTTCTATTTAGCTTAATCAGCTTTAAGTAAGAAAGAAAGTGGTACTTATGACAACTAATTAAATCATAAAGCAAGCGGTACTTGTAACGAAAACAATTTACCTGCAGGATGCGTTGTTTCAGAAGCATTTACCGCTGTACTACTCCATTCAAACCTCACATTGTATGCCAACAGCATGAAGGTGTAAGTAACGTATTCATGAAGCCCCGCTACAATATACTCAAGCAAAGGACCGTCATATATCAACTTCCTAGATCCAGGCCCCTCGCTATTTTGCCAGTAGTACAGGCGGTACAAAATTTCGCCATTGGCGTTCAACGGTATCTGCCATGAAACTCTTATGGCTGAGGAATTCAAGGTGTGTGTTGTAAGATCTGTTGGAGGTGAAGGCCCTAAAAAGAAATAAAATAAAATAACCAGTTGAGAAAATGGCATGGCCAAAATGTGATCGAGTTTGACTCACAATCTGGAGGTCTAAGGTCCATCTGAATCCTATTCTAACAGGTTTATGTACATCGTTGGTTAAATTTTCGATCATTTAGAAGTTGGTCACGTTTCTTTCTTGTTACTGACACTTACTGTCTTCTAAAGTCGTGTTGTACACAGGCTCGCTCTCAGGCCCCTCGCCCACAACATTCCACGCACGGATTTTAAACGAGTATTTGGTAAAGATGGCTAAGTCTTTCACCACAAAGCTTGTACTGTTATCTGTTGTGTTGACTGACTTGGATTCACCGGCAGGATCTTGTTCGTACTCTACAGTATATTGGATTATGATGCCATTTCTCTCAGAAACGAGAGGAGGGCTCCATTCAACTATGATGGAAGTTGATGATTTAGCCATGGCACGGACGCCCTGCGGTGCGCCAGAAGGTTCTGTAATGAGATAAAAAATATTCCGACCGAACAGTAACTAACCTGTAACAAGCAAAGATACCCACTAGTCCTTATACTACGTTGGGAGTGATATTAGTCCAAGAATTATTGGTCACTTAAGACCGCCTAAGCAGTAGACTGCTCCATGGGAAAAGGAGGAAAAATGTGTTTTTCCCATTTCAATACCCTTTCCCCGACAGCCCAAAGAAAGCTCTATACTCAGATTGCATTAAGGTCTCCTCTGTTTGGCACTGCGCAACTCTACTGCGCATCATTTTCCCAAGATGGCGATAGTCGCCCTAGAATTGACAGAATGGATTGTTTTCAAAATTTTTAGGAGTTGTTAAAAACGAAATGATTTAGAAATACGCTGTAAGGAAAACTTCTAAAACAGTGATAAATCAGGAAGGTGTGATAATGCAGGTGAAAGTTGCTGAAAGTGTGCCAAAAAGACATTAACTTTCGAGGAGCGATACTTCATCGAACCAAGAGCCATTATGGCTCTTGATCGAACCCATGGAAGTAGTCTTAAGCCGTTGTGTCTGTGTGAAAAAAAAAAATGTAAATTTCCGCTTCAGTTATCGATGTATTGCAAGTAAAGAAATCTCAGCTTGGAAAATTCCCCCATCTAACTTGTCCAAACAGTGACTGCGATGAAATGAAGACTTATGGGGCCAGTAGTTCTCTTGGGAGACCTTATTTTAATTTTAGATGTACGTAGAAGGTATATAGGTTCTGCTGCTGGTCGTTCAAATCACTACAAATTGACACTCTAACAAGTAAAGCGAAAAAGACACCCTCTATTAAGCGAACACTAAGCCAGGTCCCGAAATTAACGTCATATATAAAAAAATACATTGTATTTGGCTATATTTTCTATCGTTAAAAACCTCTATTAAGCGGACACCGGACTGAATTGACAATAGTAGTATTGGATTACGTCCTTGAAATACGTACTGTAGTCGATTAAAAAAGATAAATCAATATATTTAGCTGCGAATAAACTGTTAATTAGATCAATATTCGGCCGGGTGATTGTCATCCGCGTGTATTAGCGTTGCTGTTTCTGCATTTACAAACAAATTAAATTTGGTTATGAAAGGTACTGAACTTGAACTATGGTTAACAACATGGAACTTTATCACTGTACAAAGTAACCGTTGAATGTTAATCGTTAACAAACATTGCGCAATTTTTACAAACCTCTATTAAACGGACACCCTTCCTTAAGCGGACACTTGGGAAGGTCCCGAACGTGTCCGCTTAACAGCGGTTTATCGCCAAGTAGAATGCCAACAAACTGTGTAAACTTACTATTGGCATTTTCAAGTCACTAATAAACTATAAGATGGAACATTTGTATGGCCTTGCATTTCTTCTAGCGTAATTATACCACTCAATATATTTATTTAACAAGGAATTTAGAAATACTTGTAGAGGGTTTACTGGAGTGATTTTTACTTTTATCGTGGTAAACTTCCAAATAATACCTGTGGGAAAATTTGGAGCAATTAATTATTTGTAAGAGCCGCCTGAGTACCAAATTATTACCCTGCCTTAAAATCAAGCGTGGTGACACAACCTTTTGGCACCAAACTTCATGTAAACAAAATATAGACAAATTCTCGCCGTTGGAAATTGTGAAAAATATGAAAAATGTCACCTGAAAAAAAAAATTGCTTTGGGTTTGGTAACCATGGAAACAACTTAAACGAAAAAGTACACAACTATAGTAAACGTTTGTTGTAGCATACATAAAAACATGAGGTTCCTCGATATCCAAGAGTGCTTACTATGTTGGCATTTTGTGCATAATTTTTATTTTGGCTTTGCAAATTGAGAAAGATTGAGCAGAAATCGACAACAAATACTATAAGAGCGGGTATTTGCAGCCATCATATTTGAAGAGTTAGCATGGGGACTCCCATTTTTTTCTACAGCCTACATGTAATTAACTTCACACAAGGACAGTTTGTCAAAAATCTCAGTCCAGCTTCCATTTCAAAACAATGACCTTAAATGCTGAAATATGGGATTGAGGGCGCTATTCAGAGGACGATAAGGAAAGATCGTATTTATGAATCCAGACGTTTGCTTTTTGCTTGCCCGTACGACAAACTAACACAGCAAAAGGCAGCAAACAACGTTTTAGTTCAGTGATCCCAGGTCAGCTTGGCAAAGCATTCAAAAAGAGAATGTTACAAACCCTTGCATCAATGCACAATGCAGATTTTGCGCTTGTATACTCGCCAGAGAACTGTGACTTGAATTACTGAAGTACAAAATTACGACCGCGATACTAAGAGTCACCTTAGCGACGGAAATTAATATTCAATTTATACTTCACTGGAAAATACCTGCTGGGTGAGTAGTTTCCATGGCAACTACAGGCGTACTTGTCCAAGAGTGCTTGATGTTGACCGATACAACAGTGAAGGTATACATAACGTACTCCTCTAAACCAGATACAACAAAAGCAGTAACTGATCCCTCATATAGAACTTTATTCTGTGACTCATCCACTGTACTCAGACGCATGGAGAGTTTGTACCGTACGACGCCATTTGGATGAAGAGGCTGCACCCACTTGAGTCTTATTGCTGTGGAATTTGCACTTTTTGCCGTTAAATTTCGAGGTGGCGAAGGCTCTGTAAACAAAAGAAAAATAGGCTGCAAATAAGCTGGCCTTTATCCAAGAAATCTTAACTGTGGTCGACATGTTGTCCGAAAAGAGTTAAAACCCAAAACTATCATTTTGAATATGAATGAAATCTACCTGGAGTGCATGTGACTTGTCATATCAACGGAGTAACTTTGTTATAACGAATATGTAGCTTTAATCAATCTACCAAACTATAAAAATATGTTTCACTAGATCCGGTCACAAGTACAGTGGAACCTCGATTTAACGAAGTGCCAAGGGACTGGGGAAATTTGTTCGTTATAACGAGAGTTCGTTACACCGAACACCTCCATTTAACGAATTTTCGGGAAAACTATCAGAATGTTACGGTTGTACCGAGGTATAGTTAATAGTTAATTTACAAAACCCAGCATCCCCGGATCTAAAAAATTATTGTAACAACAAGTCAGTACCGAGCTGTATATGGCTAAGGCATTAAAAACTCAAGAACAGGCAAACAAGACTGCCTAAAACTACTCTACACTAGACTACGAGTAGCCCTTATTTTTCCTCTGGGACACTAGAGCGAACGAAACGCGAGCGCGCGTGAAAATCACCCAACGCGAGAAAGGCGAGACGCGGCGGTGAGAGGGGGTCAAAAGCTTGGACTTTTTCTGTAGTCCCTCATTTCTCCCTCTCCCCACGGCGTCTCGTCTTTCTCGCGTGGGGTAATTTTCACGCGCGCTCGCGTTTTGCTCGCTCTACAATCCCCGAGAAAAAGTCAGGGGACTACTCCTAGTCTAACTCTACACATAAATTTTATCCTTGTTGGTCTGTTTGGCATTCATCTTTTATCACATGCTGACGTTTGCGCTCGTGGATTTCGTTAAATCGAGGTTCTGTTCCATACATTTTACTATAATTTTGGCCGGGCGGAAGAAAATCGTTCGTTATACTGATCGAGGACTTCGTTATACAGAGGTTCGTTATATTGAGGTGCCACTGTATAAACAGAAACACACGCCAACTAATTCATCAAAAACGAAAGCAGAAAAAAAAATTAATAATAATAAGTCTGGAGTACCCTAACCCAAGAAACATGTTAGAACGACCTCAAAACAGACAAACGCCAAACAAAGCATTTGTGCACTTCTTCAACCCAGACAAAAGCACAAACATAATATGGTGTCAGAAGCCTCAATTAAAGCTCACGTCAAGTAGAAACAAGTGTCAACAACCTCATACCAGACACACACTGAGCAAAAACACGTGCCGGTGAACCACGTCAACTTAAACTCTGATAAACCAAGCAAACACGTGTAAACTCCATTGACTCTAACACAAGAATAAGCAAAAACACGAGTGAAACAAGTCAACCCAAAAACTGACAAACAAAGGAAAAAAGTGTGAATATTGACCGCATCAACGCAAATACAACCAGAAGCAAAAACAAGGACTGCTTTCATTAAAAAAGAAAAAAAAAATTATAACCCCAAGTAACAAGTCGCCTCTAGGCTCCAGAAATAAATTTAGGCACTGTAAGCTATGTAAAATGCCATTAACTTTGTTGAACACTTTACCTGCTTCAAATGTTTTGTTTGTGACAGGATGACTGTAGGGACCCCTCCCTCCAACAGTTACTGCTTGTATCATGAACAAATAATCAGTGTAGGGTTGAAGACCAGACACTGCCAATGTTGTAGTGTTACCAGTCACGTTTAGGAATTTCACAAAGGACCGATCACTGCTGTTGGCGTAGATGGTGTAACTTATAATTTCTCCATTTTGTTCAGCCGTTTTTGGAGGAGTCCAGAGCACAATTATTGATGTGGAAGAATTTGTTACTGCGCGTGCGTTCTCTGGGGCACCAGAAGGTGCTGAAAGAAGGAAGAAAAATCGCAATTAAGGTCATTCCTCTCCTGAGTCAACAAGAACCTGCAGTGAGATTTTCGTGAAACTTTACCGACTGGTTGTTTATGCAAAAGGTAAGGTTCCCATACTCTTTTCGGAGGAGGAGCAACTTGTACAGACACAACCTTTCCTTTAAATTTTAACATGATTACACTATTTACAATACATCATTTGAACACGTTTTCAACGATTGTTTTTTCTACTCTGGGAAATAGTCTATATTCATTCGAGAGCAAGTAAGTTACTACTCGTTTAAAAAAAGAGTCAGTGAAATGACCGGTCACCCAATAACAACCTACCCGCCTGGCTTGTAGTTTCCATAGCAACAACCGAAAGACTTGACAAGTTGTACTTTACATTGTAGGCAGCGACTTGGAGGTTGTACTTTGTGAAAGGCTTTAAATCGGACACAAGGTACTGAGTGTTGTTGCCGTCATAGACTACTTGATAAAAAGCACTCTGCTCTGATCCTGTGTTTATTGATAACCTGTATTTGATTTTTCCGTTACTATGAGCAGGTTGTTTCCAGGACACAAGAATCGCTGTTGAGTTAACACTCTGGGTGGAGAGATTCAGAGGCGATGATGGTTCTGCCAAATCAAAGATCACACAAAAACTAAGCGTTCATCTGCGCCAAGTGAGGGCCTACAGGCTTGGACAAAAATGGACTTTACTATATATTCTTTCAAGTGAGAGCCCTTTAAGGTGGCTCGATACAGTTTTTCAGGGTCAATACCTCCCAAGTTTGAGCGTAAACTACGTCGCCATAAACAAAGATTTGGAAAAATTGACACCACAGTTGTATTAGATAAAGATGAAACTTTGTTATGATTAGGGTTGCAATGACATCGGAGTTGTCATAGCAACGAAATGACGCCATTACCTATTTTACTTGCAGCAGTATTTCTCGGCACTGGGAACTGTTCTTCCAAAATCGTTTACTGGAGATTTTTCCTCCAATAGCTGCCTCGATGTTCGTGAAGTTTAAGCGAAATCTGTGAGAGCGTTATCGAGATATTTGGGGGCGAAGTTTTTATGGTTAGAAATACGGTAAAAAATGTAGAATCTTGGTGTTTGATGATTATCTGTACTAAACGAAGCGCTTTTGACATGCAATTTCACGTCATAGTAGTTTAAATCTTTTTAAAAACGTGTGTGAAAGACCATGGAGATACCTCCAGACGATTGCTAGAAAGAACGATTTGATTAGTATGTATCGGGGCGCTAATGTTAGCGGTAATGTAATAGTCCGGTGGCTTAGTGCAAAATTTTGGCGAGATCTATACAGAGCGGACAAAAGCACCAAACTTTGCATGGTTGTAGCTTAGGGCATGTTAGTCAATATTAGGATCGGTGCCCACAGCTACCTCTCCAGGATTTGCAGCAACTGCTCGCTGAAGTTCTCCAACAACCTTCCATGATGGGTGCCCTGTGCCGAAAATTGCAATCACTTGTTTTTTGCCATTTTTTGATGTAAATCACATAAAAAGGGAAGTAGATGGAAAAAGAAACTGTATTAATACTATTATTATTGAAACCAATGACTAAAACAAGTCGACTTAATGATATAGCAATTATGATGTACCATGGTGGGTGCCCTGTGCTAAAAAAATCAAGTCCTTTTTTTTTGCCATTATTTTGATGAAAATCACATGAAGGACATGAAAATAAAAAAGAAATTGTATTTTTGTTGAAACCAATGAAAAAAACATGCCAACTAAATGGAAAATCAAGATGTTTTCAGACGCGTACTCAGTCCCAAACAGCCTCAAGGTGGCGGCTGTGTCTTTTCATGGACTGTAAGTATCTACTAGAATAACTTGCCGTTTTTTAGCGGAAATTGTGTACAATTTGAATCACAACAGGTTTAAGTGAATTTTAAGTTCTTCTTGGTGATAAATTTGTTATCGAAAGCCACATTTTCTCTTCACATTTTGTGCCGATTATGAATGACTATACTGAGTTTATTTTCGTACTGGTTTAAAATTAATAATAGTAAAAGTGGCTTCTTTCTATAGCGCTCATATCCTGAGCACATGGTGTTTAACAATGTTAAAGAGAAAAAAAAATTATATCTCGAGCATGAAATAACATATATTAAAATCTATTTGCAATTCACAAAGAACAAGAGAAGGAAACAAGAATTCATCTGTTTTGAAATTATTTTGCCTTTAAAGTTTATATATAATGATAATAAGTCATGCAAAAAACTAAATATACGTTCTATAAGTATGGATATATGATCTGCAGATATTAAAGACGTTTTACAAAAGTATTGACTTACTCTCTAAAAATTGCGTAAAAAGATATGTTCTCAGTCCTTTCTTTCAACTGGCTAAAGATGGTGACTTCTGAAAATCTAGCTAATGGTAGTGAGTTCCACAGTTTAAGGGGCACACTGAAAAAATCTTTTTCCCCCTGAGTTTTCGAGGTTGTTCTAAGAGCTGCTGAGATGTGGACCACAAGTTCCCGGAAGGCCTTCGATAACCGTCCGCTAGATAGCTAGGTGGAAGGTTATTAAGTGATTTGAAAACTGACAAAATAAGTTTAAAAACAACATGATAACTAACAGGAAGCCAGTGAAGGTCATATAAATAATGTGTTCGCAAAGTTTACGAGTCCGAGTAACGGTCCTGGGGGCAGTGTTCTGAACATATTATTAAAAGTTCCTTCAAGTGCATTTTCCTACAACCATAGAGCAAAGAATTGCAATTAACAGTCTGTTTTAGATGTAATAAAAGCACGCACTGCAATTTCGCTAGACTCCTGTGTGAGACATTTTCTTATCTTTGATAAATTCCTGAGTTGGTGAAACGATAATCTGCAAAAGAATGCTGAGACGTGTGCGTCAAACAGCAAGTTGTCATCAAATACTACTCCCAGGCTTTGTTGGTGGTGGTTCTTAGCCTTGCATTACCCATAATGACGTCGCTAAAGGATGGACGAGTAAGGTACATCGACAAGATAAGCATGATTTCAGTCTTATCATGATTGAGTTTAAACTCGTTTCTACACGCCAAGATGGAAATCAGTTGGGATCGTTGTCATATTTACCCAGGGTGAGAATCGAAAAGAGAGGATCTGAGAAACCCATTAATTTAACAGAACAATTATTCATAGAACGCTTCTTGACAATTTACTAGAATTCAAGAAAGAGGACTGTGCCGTCTTGTTGCAATTAAGTTTCATATTAAAATCACTACAGTAGTAAACACGTTACTGAAGTGCAAAGTGGCATCAATCCTGTCACCTCACGTACAAGTTAGAAAAAGCAAACTAGAAAAGAGAAAAAAGCATGTTGAAGCAGATCAGAAACAGCCAGTTGGAGATTGTGGCACCAAACGAGCTTGTAAGACTGACACTATAGCGGGACTGCAAAGTGTGTGCCTCTGTTTGTAACGAATACAGCTTAACATGAAGTTCGGCAAGTATAAAGAAATGTGTATCATTGTCCACTGCATTTGCTTTGTACTCAGTGAGTTCAACAAATGCTCTTGATTTATTTAATTTCTTGTCTTCCTTGACCTTCCGAGCTGCTCCTTTTTCTTCTTGCGTTCCTCTGACATGTATGCCTATTTCGCACTTCAGCCTTTTTAGTACATTTTCAAGGAGCGTTCTATAAATTAATGCTTGTACAGTTAAACCAGTGGGCTTCTCAAATCTTCTTTTGTTGATTCTTGGCAAATATAACAACGATCCTAGTTAATATCTATCCTGGTGTGTAGAAAACATCTCAGCTTCAGAAACCTTTAACTAACCAGTAAGTTAATAAACTCAGTATAGTCATCATAATCGGCACAAAATATGAAGTGAAAATGTAGCTTTCGATAACAAATTTATCACCAAGAAGAGCTGAAAACTTCACTTAAACCTGTCGTGATTCAAGTTGTGCACAATTTCCCCCCCAAAACGGCAATTTATTCTAGTAGATACTTACAGTCTATGAAAAGACACCTTCAAGCCGCCATCTTGAAAGGTTATTTGGGACTGAGTACACGTCTGAAAACATCTTCCTTCGATTTTCCATTTAGTTGACTTGTTTTTGTCATTGGTTTCAATGATGATACAATTTCATTTTTTATTTTCTTATCTTTCATGTGATTTTCATCAAAATAATGGCAAAAATCAAGGAATTGATATTTTTAGCACAGGATACCCACCATGGTATATCATAATTGCTATATCATTAAGTTGATTTGTTTTAGTCATTGGTTTCAATAATAATAGTATTAATGCAGTTTCTTTTTCCATCTACTTCCCTTTTTATGTGATTTACATCAAAAAATGGCAAAAAACAAGTAATTGCAATTTTCGGCACAGGCTACCCATCATGGAAGGTTGTTGAAGAACTTCAGCGAGCAGTTGCTGCAAATCCTGAAGAGGTAGCTGTGGGCACCGATCATAATATTGACTGACATACCCTAAGCTACAACCATGCAAAGTTTGGTGCTTTTGTCCACTCTGTATAGATCTGAGCCTTTAGCCACCTGACTATAAACATTTCGGTCCACTTCAACAAATTAGCGAATAATTTTAAAACCGCTCGATAGATTGTTTCAAAAATTTTAGAGTCTTCAGATAAACCGTCCTTTTATATGACCTCTTAGTTTCAAGATTATTGATATATTGTAAGGTAGTAAAATAACGGCTATAATTCACTAACATTTTGTCAGAAATTTTGTGTTTACAAGTGAGGGTCTCTTATTATTCAGGGGTATTGTCTCAAAGTTTCATTTTCACGTGAACAGCAGTAAATAACAATGCATTTGACATATGCAAAACTGCTAGCTATTGTTGTGCACGAAAATATGAAACTTGGAGACAATACCCCTGAATAATGAGAGACTAACACTTGTAAACACAAAATTTCGGACAAAATATTAGCGTATTGTAGCCCTTATTTTACCGCCTTACAATATATCAATAGTCTTGAAACTAAGAGGTCATATAAAAGGACGGTTAATCTCAAGATTTTTAAATTTTCTAAAAAATTTATCGAGCGGTTTAAAAATTATTCGCTTATTTAAAAAGTAGACCGAAATTTTTACATTACCGCTAACAAGAGCGCCCCGATACATACCAATCAAATCCTTCTTTCTAGCAATCGGCTGGAGGTATCTCCATGATCTTTCACACACGTTTTTACAAAGATTTAAACTACTATGAGGTGAAATTGCATGTTAAAAGCGCGTCGTTTAGTACATATAACAGTCGAACATCAAGATTGTCAATTTTTTACCGTATTTCTAACCATAAAAACTTCTTCCCAAAATATCACGATAACGCTCTTACAGATTTCTCTTAAACTTCACGAACATCGAGGCGGCTATTGGAAGAAAAAGCTCCAGTGAACGATTTTGGAAGAACAGTTCCCAGGGCCGAGAAATACTGCTGTAAGTAAAATAGGTAATGGCATCATTTCGTTGCTATGTCAACTCCGATGTCCTTGCAACCCTGATCATAACAAAGTTTCATCTTTATCTAAGACAACTGTGCTGTTAATTTCTCCAAATCTTTGTAAATGGCGACGTAGTTCACGCTCACACTTGGGAGTTATTGACCCTGAAAAACTGTATCGAGCCACCTTAAAGCACTCGCAATTACAAATACTCCCCCCCCCCCTCCCCCACCAAAAAAATAATAATGTTGACGCCCAGCAGGATTGTTGTGGGGTGGGGTGGGGGGAGGTGTCATAGCAATACCAAATCCGCGGGATAAGCGTCCTGTCGGTAAGAAAAAGGCAATACCTTTTTTCCAAGTTATTTGAAGAACCAGAGTATTGGAACTACACGTGACCTCCAGTTCCGTAGAACAGGGCTCTTCCAACTAACCAAGAGCTACAATGGCCACGCAGTTTACAATGTACATCAAATATTTGTACAGTACATATCTGCCTTTCAAAGTTTTCCTTTCGACAAACAGAACATGTATTCCCACCACGTAGTATCATGGAAATTTCCTTTGTTCAGCATCTTACTTGCATTTAAAGGGTTTAATCTCATGGACTCTTCTCTTGTAATGGAGGGTTGAAAAACGCACATAGGGGTCGTATCTGAGTTTTCCAACCCTCCTCTACAAGAGAAGCGAGGAAAGGGTGAAAAGTAGAATGTATACTCGCATCAAACGTATACCAACTAGATTGCCAAGTTGAAACTACGTGTACTTTTTGGAGCCTGTACTTTTAAACAAGAAGCTTAGCTGTTACCCGAATAAAGCTACTAGAGAAGCATTGTCGTTTGATTAAGGTTATCATGACACTATAGTGGCGCCAGAAAAAGCTGCCCGGTATAGTATGAACACTTATCCGATATGTGACCCTTCACTTGAGAGATCGGCGGAGCGTAGCTTCGCTACGTCACAGAAATCGCGCCGCCACAACCGTTCTTTTGTGCGGACTGAAGCCATGTCCAGTATGATTTTCATGACTGCGCAAAATTATAATTACACTTCAATACGGTAAGTCATTTCAGATAATATTACTTCGTCTTTTTTGTCCTCATTTAAGCACCGAGTAACCTAACCTTTGCTAGCCTAAAGACCAGTTAACATCACACATTACTCACGTCCTTCATCTGTCTGGATCAATACAGTGCTTTGATTTCCTCGCCCTTTGCTGGTGAAAGCAGCAACATTGATTGAATAAAATGTGAAAGTATTTAAGGAAGAAATGACTGCACTCCTCTCTCCTATACCAACAGGCCTAGTTGTTGACTTGGAGGATCCTTGCTCTGTGTATGTCACCTTGTTAAGGCAAAGAAACAAAAGATATATACACTATACCGGACTGGTATATCTGGTTTGTGACTCTCCAGTTAAGAGGTAGTCGCGGCGCAGCGTCGCTTTGTTAAAGAAATTGCGCCGAAATCATCGTTCTTACATGTAAGTGTAAACAAAAACCCTATCCGGTGTGGTTTTTGAACCAGCACAAAAGCTATCCAGGAAAAGTATGAACATAGCCTCATAGACGTGATGCAGCAAAACTGACGCCAATAGAGTGACTGGACAATGGATATTTGACTATCAATAACGACCCTTGTTACCATGTCAAAAGACGGATTGAAACTCATCACTCACATTTATACTATGGAGTCTTCATAGCCATCACGGCTTAGCTTACATATGACCAATAAGAACACCAGTTAATCGACCAATCAGGTCGCCAACCAGAGTTTAATACCATCACCTCACTTTGACTCTGGCGATGACTACCGCACAGGTTGTCAAAACGTCAGTCACTCTCAACATCAGTCCTATTCACAGCGCGCAAAGAAAGTCGTGTCTGATAGCCCAGGGCTAGTGGATTTTGCCTGAGGGGCAAGTACTGTTTTTGGGGGAAATCCAAATTACAGAAGGATTGTAATCAATCCTGCTCATCAAAAAGGATTTTTGGGCTAGTTGAAATGACTTGTGGGTTAGTACATGCTAGCTAAAGCTTGCCCGAATGGCAGGCTGTAAAATTGAGTTTCTTTGCATCCTGTATTCAGGACCACACTCTCCCAAACGATCATATTCCACTTACTTATGAAAATATTTTAAAGTACAATAACGTATTGAAAAATGCACACTAGAAGAGATGTACATGTTGCATTACCTCGTACTTGAGGAGAACACCATTCATCTCTGTTGGTTCAGTCCAGTTCACAAACAATGTAGTAGAGTTAATTGCTTTGGCTGAAAGTTCAGTTGGCTGACTTGGAACTATGAGAACAAAAAAACAAAGATTTTAAAAGCTAGTCTTTCAACTTACAATGCAGGGAAACAACACCACAGATAAACAAAAACTACACCTTACTCGATTCAAGAAAATTATGTTTAGATGAACATGACATTTTGTACATGTAACATAATTAATGTAACATTGTTAAATGCTTCCTGTGTTTCACAGAAACCTTGACATCAAAGAACAACAAATATCAAGAGTAGAGTATGCTATTTTTAAGTTCAACCAAACTTTCATGAATATTAGATTGTGTACAAAATGGGAAGCCACAAAACGTTGTTTATATTTATATGTTTTTACAATTCTTGTTATAATTTACACTATTTTGATAACGACGACATATGCAGTAAAGGTCCTGGGCAAGCCTTATTTGACAGCTGTTCTCCAAGTACATGAAAGAGGAGGGATGCGTAACCAATGCCCTAGATTGTCCTAAATTGGCCAACTCTTCAAAAAAGCAGACATGTAGCTACACTGACATTGATTTAGAAGTGTGTTACCAACCAGGCTGCTATTGGTATCCCCTACTATGTACATGTACAACATCAGTCCTCCCTAAAAACCAGAGCATCTCATCCACTGAAATTTATTCCACGACACGTACAAATACAGCTCCTGGCCGAGAATTATCACTGACTGGAATAGTCTACCATTTGACTTAAACAATAGCTTCAACAGCAGAATTTAAAGCCACCATCCCTAACTACATTTTTTCATTGTAGTGCTTGTCCCTCCCTATTATTTATTGTATTTTTATTCTTATTCTTAGCAGTAACACTTAAGTTTATTAGTTTAGAAGCTTGCGAGTATGTCTGTAATAAATATTTCAAGGTGATATAATTATATAAATGTAAATGTCAGGGTGAGTGGCAGCTTTTAAGAATCCTCTACTTTTACACGTACAACTACTGACTTACCATCTTCATCAGTACGCACAGACAGTTTATTACTGAATGGTCCTGGAGCAACTGTGACAGCTCTCACTTCAACTTCATAGACAGTCCACTTCTTAAGACCATGTGCCTCATATGACACAGCTGTACCAACATCTAAAACCACAGGTGAACCAACTTGCCGCTTACTTCTACCATTTCCTTCCCTATGTGGCTCGGTAGTCACAGGAATCTCACTATCACTTGGTGTAGTGGGTACAGGAGATGACGGCAAAAGTGATGCTGATGATGTCAAACCAGAAATACTGTTTCTACTTGTAGGCATTATTGTTGGCTGTGTACTTATCTCTGTTAGACGAAGCTGATATTTTCGTAGCTTGCCATTTAAAGTGTCCAGTGCTGGTGGATTCCAGGCAATAGAGATTGCCTCAGAGCTGGTGCTATCTGCCGCTGTTATAGTTGGAGCACCAGATGGGGCTGATGGCAAAACAGACATAATTGACTTTAGTTATTAACATTAATAGGAGACATCACTGTTTACAAACATTATGTTTTTGTTATTCAAATTTCCCAGCGAGTAAAATAAAAAAGTCTTTTGTTTCAGGAACCAATCATGGCACAATCATTAATATCAGTTGGTGACGTCAGCATGAGTATCACTATAGTGCAGTTTGTAGTGTTGTACATTGCATAAATTGACAAACTGGTTTTCCATTTTTTCTATTTAATTTCTTGAGCAACTTTAGGGCCCCTACTTTGGGTTGGGGTGGATTCAAATACCAGTAATTATGTGACTGTCAAGTCTGAATCCCCTGAGGGTAACCAATCCATACTGAATTCTCCCTACTGACTGCTCAAATGACCAGAAAGGTTGTGAGAATAAAGAAAATGATCAGCAGTTGTATTAGTTCTCAATTGTTGAACATATTCACCTCATAAGTACCATAGGAAGTGTATGGAGAAATGTGTGGAGAATACCCATGATGATATTAGGGTTTAAAGGCTTAATTCACAAGTGGTGGCTGTTGCAGTTGCTGACTGTCATTACCATAACAGGCCTTCTCTCAAAGTTTACATACTTGATCAAATTATCTGTCACTTTCTTAACTATCACAAGAAGTACTTCCTTTTGTTACATGTACTCCCTTTGTCAATATTTTTTTCCTTTTTTAAATGGAAAAAAATAATAATTTTAAAGCTATTGGCAAAAATCAGAATTTTCAGCAAAATCTGAGAAGGCTGCTATTTTGAATGATGTCATACATAATATTATACATACACACCATAATACTTAAATTATCTTGAAAAGTGTATGACAGACCAAAAATAGCAAAACCCCAAGGGGGTAGAGTCCAACAACCACCCCTCCCCCTTGCCCTTGTACCATGATAGGGACATGCATGGATTTGCCTGTGCATTGAGCAAGAAGGCACAATCATCTCAGTGGGCACTTTAAGTGAATGGTTACAAAAACTGTCACCTTTTGCAATCACATCACCTGATTTTTTTTTTTTTTTCATTTTCAGTCCAGAGCCAACTGTATGTGCAACAACTGATATATTATCAAAGAGAGTGATACATGTACACTGCATAGTGGAAAGTGACAAATTTATTAAAATTAATACAAAGAAAAAAGAAGAAAATTCCATGGGGCAAGCAATTACCTGCTTCATCAGTCAAAATCAGTTTGCTCTCTCCACTGTAATTGCTTCTACCGAAGGAATTTTCAGCAGCAACTCTGAATGTGTAGTTTGTATAAGGTTTCAGCCATGAAACCATGGCCTCACTGTGTTGAACAATGCAAGCCTCCGGCACTGAAGACTGGTTACATGTTGCATTTTTCCATGTGAAAGAATCATTACTAAACTCAACTGAATAGTTTGCTGAAGACTGTGCACTGGTTGTATTCCATGTCAGAAAAACACTGCGGGCTGATAAAACTGTGACATTTAAAATGACCGGTGGATCTGGTACACCTGAAATTCAAGCATGATAAAATACATAAAATGCACATGCATCAAAGCATACATGTAACAAATAAAATTATACACTCTACATATGTACATCCAGTTATTACACGACAAAAGAAAGAAAGTGAAAAAACAGGCACTAAAGTTTATGTAAAATCCCATTCACATTAATTTTCCACGTTTACAACGCAGGTAACAATTATGACACATGAAATACATTGTGAGTCTATAATTATTCATGTCGTATTACATCTACATGTTTTCACAACTTAATAGAACTCTAATTGAAAAATGCATAAAAAATGCAGTCTTTACATCATAAAATTTTTTTATTAACATATTAATAAAAAATGTGTTGGTCTATGTACATTGCATGTTTCTTTTGCATAATAATATTAAATGCAGCAATATATTCATGATTACAAAATTACATTTCAATTGTATCATCATTAATTTACATAGAACTCCAGTCGAAAAAACATCCTTTTGATCGCAAAAATGTTACCTTTTTGTTCCTCAGAAAAATGCTATATAGTTTATGGTAAATGAGGGTAAAATATTTACACATCAGGGCTGACAGTTTTATCCACCTTTCTATCAATCCCTGTTTACATGAACATGTACCTGTATTTTTACTTTTTTTGGTAAGTTCAATTATCGATTTAATATGTTTGATAACACTAATAGAATGATATCACTTAAGAAAAAAAACATAAACTGGTATACATGCACAACGTATGTTTTGCACCCTAGAGACATCTGCTAGGAATGGCAACTGTCAAGTGTCAGAAGCACAAGTGTCAAGTGTACAGTTTCTTCTCCTAAAGCATGACATTGTGGATTTTTGCCATTTGAGATTTAAATATAGCCACTAAATAATATAATCTATATTGGCTTCTGTGGGTCAGTACATTTACATCAGGAATAAAGAAAGTCTTCACTTAAATTTCAACAACACAATAAAAAAAATTATAATAAATGATAACTCAAACTCAGTGACAGGGGAATGTAAAAATTGGGAACAACTACTACCAATGCAATGCAATGTTAATAAGCATCATAGTTATTATGGTAAAACATTATTGTTTGCTTGTTTGTTTGTTAAAGGAATTTTCAGCAGCAATTCTGAATGTGTAGTTTGTATAAGGTTTCAGCCACGAAACCGTGGCGTCACTCTGTGCAAAAATGCAAGCCTCTGGCACTAAAGACTGGTTACATTTTACATTTTTCCACTTTAAAATTTTAGCTGTTCATAAACTAAAGTGGTTCAAAATGCTGGTAATCCTTTATCAGGCGTAGCACTAATTTAAGAAGTAGGTAATGTACAATGTAGCTCATTGCTACAGGCTGTTTAAGGCTTTTCTTGCCAAGGCAGCACTCATCAGATCAATAAACTACAGGTGTAATCAGAAAATTAATAATCTGTTTATGTGTAAAATACCTGGTGGTGAAGCAGTTGGTGGAGAAAGCATAACACTTGAACTCTTCGCAGCTGGAAACTGTGTACTGATTGGGTGAACCAAGGTATCACTTTGGGAAACACCAACTTCAGTCATAACGGTGGATTTGGTCAACAACTGAGTGGATAAACCTTGGCTAGCTAGTTCTGTAACAAAACAATAAAATTAAATGCTGTCATCAACAGGCTGTTGTTATAAAAAGCTTTATGTAACAGGGGAATATTTTTGATGAGGTGTTTTATCTGCTGATGAAACACTGTGTTGAATGCTTGATATTACAAACAAAATGATTTTAGAAGGAGAAATTAAGGATGCAAAAATGAACAGTTTTTCATATGATTTCCAGACACTCATTAAACATTAATTTCCTTTGTATTTTCTTTATGAATTATTAACCCATTCGCTCCTGGAGATTTTGCCAAAAAACGTGGTTTGAAGCTAGTTGAGTGGTTTTCTGGTCACTGTCATGCTATCAAGAGCTAAAACTTACCACAAACCGGTTTACAGGTCGTACACTTCACGGCCTTCTGATCCAGATGCTAACTGTTAGCTTGCGAAGTTCGGGCATTCCTCCCCAAATTCAAATTCAAATTCCTCCCCTCTTTTTTCGCTTTTCTTGCCTCATTTTTTTTCTCTTGCCGGGCATTAATTTTAGTAGGCTTCATTTTGGTGGGAAGAGTTTTTAGGAAAGCTTTTAGGATCTTAGGATTAGGTGAAAGGAAAGGTAGGTGGGCAATGGAACAAGATTTTCATGGAGATTTTCAAGTCAATGTTAGATGGTTTTTGTCCTTTTTCTCCGGTGTCCTTGACTGAATTGTGCTCATTTTGGTATGGTTTGAAAGATCTCTTCACTCTGCACAAGTTAGCGTACAAAGTTGCCCTTGACCATTAAAACAGACGACATCACAAGCAGTAGAAAGGACGTGGATCCCCACGGGCAGCTCAGGGGCGAATGGGTTAATGAGTTTGAGAAATACCTGTACATTCCCAAACAATTCAACACCTATGTCATCACTATCTGGGAAAAAGAATCACTCCAGGGCTAAACTTGAACACAAAGAACTTAAAGTTCAGAAAGTCTGTCTTTGATTATATATTAAAACATGTAAAAGGGAATCAAGGTATTTATCTCCAAGACATAAGGGTATTCTTAAAAAATCTACTGGTGCAGTTTAGCTTTAGGGATGTTCAAATGCACAAAAAGTAACTTTTAAATGAGTCGACCAGCAGCTGACACTTTTTAAGTGGGGAACAAAAAGAAAAAAGGGACCAGGGATTCCAATTAATACTTCTGATGATAGTTTGCATTAAGAAAATAATTAATGTACACATTACTGTACTGACCAATGACAAGCTATTGTAGCATACACTTGTAATAATGCAAATTTATATAATAAGTAAAATAATATTATGATTGTATTGATTACACAATGTCTGACCTGTTGAAGTGTTGCCAAATGACTGAGTGGCGTTACTAGCGTAACCAGCAACATTGCTTGAGGAAGGTGATGGTGTCACAGGAAGAAAGGATAAACCCTTAGTTGTCATGGTAACCAGATCAAGGGAAAGACTCGCAGAGAAGTGCGAGGTGGTGCCACCTTGTATTTCACTAGTCACTGCTGGAACTTGCGTCGACTGTGACCCTCCCTGTAAAAATATATGTGAGCTGTTCTGTTGTATAATTGGAACTGTACTTCTAGCTGGTGTAGCTCTCAAGCTGGGCCATACTGTACTAGTACTTTTAGAAACACTTGCATGGGCACTGCTTGTACTAGATGCTAGTCTTGAAGATACAGTTTTAGCCACTCTCTCAGTAGACGAATAATGCATAGACGATTCACTCTCTGCAACACTAGTAAGGATCTGCTGAGTTGTCTTGGCTTGTGTGGGCACCAAATAATCTGACTGTATTGCCGTAGCAGTATCACTACCACTACTTTCTGGTAAAAGGCTTGTCTTAGCTGCTTGTGTGTGCTTGTCACTGGAAGTTTGCATTGCAATTGGTTGTTTGTTGCTACTACTAAGTGCTTGAGATTGCTGTATTGTAGGTGATTGCAATACACTTGGGGTTTTTAAGCCGCTATCTTTTGGACCACTTCCAATTGAAACAGGTGACTGAAAAATATTAGGTCCAATGTTACTAGCTGCTATTGTTCTTTCCGTACTTAAAGAAGACATTGTTACAAACTTTATCTCTGACTTAACTACCCTGTAAGGTGATGCACTAGTAACAGGATACAGATGAGAAGTTATAGATGATTGTGATTCTTGAACGACAACAGTTGATGTTCTGTTATTCAGACTTGATCCAGACTCTTGAGCATTGACTAAAAATAAAAATAATGAGAAAGAAACTTAAACAGTAATTGACTTGGTATCAAAGTAAATGTACACATGCATATGTTTGGACAATAAATTAACCAAATGGGAAATGAATGATGATTTTACACCCTTTCAAACTCATTAATAACTCTTAAGTGGAAGCAAAAATTTACTAACAAGAATGAGGTTTGGATGTCAGATTTTAAGATTTTCTTTAATAGCTACAGTACAGTTATGGTACTGTAATTAAAAAAAAAACAAGTAACGATCTAGTACCATTCCAAGTTGGAACTGGAATTTGAAAACGTTGGTTTTTGAGGAGAAGGGAAAACCAGAGTACCCGAAGAAAACCTCTCAGAGCAAAGGCGAGAACCAACAACAAACTCAACCCACATATGGCATTGATGATTAAATTTAAACCCAGGCCACATTGGTGAAAGGTGCAATGTACCACTACCTCAGGAAATTTGCTTCATCCAATATCTAGGCACCTACTTGAGAGTGGCTGATGAAGAATAGACTTGAAGAGCGCCAAAGAATGGTTACATGATACCGCAATACTACACATTGAAAAAAAAACTACCAAAATATCACTTAACAAAACCTCAAAACCGCATTGCCACATTAGCTGTGATGCCCCCTCCTTACATGTATCTCAGGGGCCAGCAAGAAGGTGTAACAAAAGTGCTGTCCAATAATCTTGGGCTATTGGAGCAACCTCTTGGGCTACCATGTTTTTATTATCAGTTGCGTGACAGGTTATCAGCATTTGCAGAGCAAAAGTAAATGTTAGTGAAAAGGAATACTATTCCGTTTGGCCAGCTAGAAGACTGCTGGTGGCTTCTTTTATTCTGCAAACAGCTCACAAAAAGCGCAAGTGGTTGTTGCAATTTTCATCGTATACTGAACCAGCATATATACCAGTGTTTAGCCAACCACCTACAAAGCATTAGCCACTTCACCACCACATGAAGGATTTTCCAAGAGGTACTATAGTATTCAACATGTCCTTGCACAAGAGCAAAAACCTCTAACGTAGGAACTGGAAGTCCACCAAGACACTATTTTACAGCCGCACTATGATCTTTATGCTTGTATTTATCCACTCATCACAGCGTTCACGCCCAAACCAAAGCTTCTAATATTATTAAGCAGATTATTGAAGTGGCTTGTAAATTTGGTTATTATACATTGTACTCACTGTCTGTCTTCTCATTGGCTGAGAGCCCACTGGTAACTTTGGAAATCAGCACAACCTACAGATTAGTTAGTTATCTGCCAGCAGACTAATCTGTAGGTTGTGCGCGCCATGCAGGATTTCCAATAACAATATTTATTCAGGTTCCTTGCAACAGAGTGTTTGTCGTTATTTTCTTCAAAACGATGTATAATAAAACAATTACGATTAGATTTGGTTTTTGTGATATCCTAGATAATCAAGGTCTCAGTAAGTGCTATCAGCCTCCACCTTCGGCTCGGCTGATGACACTTACCTCGACCTTGATTATTCCGGATATCACAAAAGCCTCATCCAATGATTGTTTATGCATGTAATTTCAAGGAAAATTGAATTTTACAATACAATTTGGAAAATGGAAATTCTTGAATGAGATAAAATAAGAAAGCACAAAGAAGGAGTTACAGAAAATGAAAATGTATCTGACAGATGATTTGGTTAACCATAAACACCATTAGCATAACGTAAGAGATAAGCTGAAACCACTTTGGCAGGCAGAAGTGTATGTTGATCCCCAAAAACTTCTCTGTAGCACGACATGACATGAGGGGGGAAAAATTAATAGTACTGTTGCCCTGTTCGGTTTTCAGAGACTAGATAATCCTTCATCTATGAAATTTGCCGAATTAAGATTCAGTTGAAATGCGCACATTATCTTATATTTGCCATCTTTCATCGAAATCAAGTCAAATCGACCTTTTCGCTGAAACAGTAGAAGCTGCGCTTAAATTCAGCTTTCTTCACGAGAAAGATCAAGACTACGTTCTCGATACAAACATGATGGGAGAGCCTCCTCAAGAATTTAACGCTTCAAATTTATACCAGCATAAGTAAAAGAATAAATTTAACAGAAATTGAAATGAATCTGCCATCAAGCAACTTGATCTTACCTATAAAACTTGACAAGAAGACGATCACAAGGACTAAGGAGCGCTCCATGATGGACGGCAAATTATCCTGAAACATCCCTTTAAATGGCGGTTATACAACAAGTATACAATAAAAAAGTAAAAAGTGATATTTGCTTGTAGTTAGCCCGTGTCTAATTCATCCATATCGTTCAATCCAATACTTACTTCGCGTTCGCGCTTCCACCGCAGACATTTTGTGGGCACGACAAGGCCAATTGCACATTCCACCGGAAATCGATCCCATTCCCCCTAAAGCGTACTTCCGGATGTAATGCTTCAGCAAAACAGGAGTATCCAACGACTCTTGGCTTGCGTTCATGTGCAAAAATAATCCTATACATGTCAAAAAGAATGCATTTTGATGAGCAGAGTTTTATCCCGATTTTGAGACTCTACTAAGTTAATTTTGTTTTACCGGATTAGCTTTGTTTTAGTTTGTCTGAACGTTCATCTTCTGACCGCCTCTGGAGAACGGAAACGCACCAAACGTTCATCGCGATCAATGTCCACTCCAAAGGTTCATGGAGGGAGCCCAGACGTTAATACACAACAAAATAGTTCCATGCAACGGCAGGACATACTGTTTGGCAAAAGTAGAAAAGAAGAAAAGTAGAACTGAAGAATTTTACACAACAACAACGTATCCAACCCCAACATTCTTGAAAATTATGACGAAGTAAGCCCTTCAGAAGGGGAAATTGTATATTTGTTTCGTTTTAATGGAAAAAAGGCCTAGTTTTACGAGGTATCCTGTAAGGAACGGTCCGTGTAAAGTGTATTAGATTGCTATCAAGCTCTCCATTTGGGGAATATATTAAGACGTCACGCGCGAGTGTCACGCGACCGTCTCGCTGACGCGTTAGTTTCAAGGTGCAGTCAAAGACAGTAAGACAGTGTTGGTTAGATGTAATTCTTTTTCAAGAAGCATGATAGCTTTTTAATTTCTGTTAGTCGCCGCGCCCGACGATAAAATAAAGTACTAATTCCAGTTTAATTCCGCTTCAAAAGAGAAAAAGAAACTTGGCGGTTTGCAGTCTAGCGCAATTTTAGTACAGGATTACAGGGGCACCCAACGACCGTTTTCGGGGAAATATCTGTTCGGAGCCCTCTAGAATGGCTAAAATTTTCGGGAGCCCAAGAACAGCTAAAAATTTCGAAAATGTTTCGTGGTGACTGTTCCTTGGGCTCAGAGTTTCGGGATTTGTGTGGTTTGTTCATCTAAGAATTTCGGATTTTGTAGTAATCTCTAGATCACCTAGAAATTTCGTAGCTTTCGTAGTAATCTTTATATTCTGATTTCGGCGCCTAGAAATTTCGTAGCTTTCGTAAACTAAGAATAGAGCAAAATTTTTAAACCCGGCTGACAGTCTCATTAGCGAAAATTTCGACCGTTTTCTGAGGGTACCAGGCTTACGGGTTATGCGCACGCGAGCGCTATATCAGCGCGCGCATCGCGTGAGTAGCGCCTGTCAGTCCTGTGTATCGGTCGATGGACACTCAGGACAGTATCGTAGCAGGGCTACGGATGGAGGGATAACCCAGACAACGCTATTGTAGCACTGTTCTCGGCATCGCATGTATCTGATCTACCTAATTTTAATAAAGCCACATTTCTGACATTTGCAGTTACAGTTAACTGTGTAGAAAATAGGCAACTTTCAGCGTTTCAGTGAAGTTTAGCCCGCGAAAACAGACGTTTTTCCACCGTTTTTTTCTTTGCTCGCTCATCGCCACCTGGGGTGTGTGTGGGGAGGGGGGTGGGGGCGAGGAGCGAGGACAAACTACTGCTGGCAACTTTAAATTTTGGTAATGTGCAGGGTGATGAGTGGGTGATACAGACCCGTTATCTGCTAGCCTGCGTAGCAAGCGTTTCCAATCGAGTTACTGCGCGAAAGTTAGAGGATTAGTTACTCAACACGTACGGTCCCCATTAAGGACCTTACGAAACCACGAAGACGACGGCAACGGGAACGTCAAAAAACAGCTCTTCACGTGCATCACGCTCTCGCGGGGGGGTACTTTAGGACTTTTGGGGTGGGGATGTGCCGCTGGGACCATGACCCTTAGCCTATACCAGAACTAGTTCAAGTGAATTTAGACTAAACTCCCCAAGTCCCCCCCTATCCTAGAGTAGCCAGCTGTTTTCCAGAAACAACTAAGGTCACTAGCACAGCCCAGCCAAAAAAAATCCGATCTGATTTTTTTATATTCTTGAGTGGCAATTCCCGGTTTCCCTAGTCTAGACTAAAATCTTCAGCCTATTGATCAGTTTAAATGGAAAAAGATACCTTCTTCTAGACCCAAACCCTCTGATTTATATACCCTATCCCAGAGTAAACTGCTTGAAAACCATACCCTTCAGAGCGGCACATGTCTATAAAGCCCATATATGGCAGTACCCCCACCCGGATCACGCTTTTTTAAACATTTCTTTGCAGTCACTGCATAACTACAACGTGAAATATCGGGGGTGACAGCTCTAACAAAGGCTGTTTCGGGAGAAAAACAAATTTATTCCGGGAATCTGGAATTTTTGCCGGGAATCGGGAAACCTGGGAAATGTTTCGGGAAAAATGAGATATTTTCGGGACATTGAGCAAAGATTTGATATAACATGTTATCAAACAATATATATACAGTGATATGCACCCAGTGTATGCGCTATATTCTATGTATTTTGACACTTCAAAACGGCTGCACTCCCCATGATATGAAAAGACCAATCAGCAACGTTTCCATCTAAAATAGCATGAAGTTCGAGTACGTTTGACCACGTGCAATCCCCAGCGGATTGACACAAGAACCGTACCGGTGCAAGGCACATACTATCAGTTCACACCAGATCCCATCATTCATTAGTTCAGGGGTATTTTTACGCTGCACTTTAACGAGTCTTAAGAGCACATTCCACTGATTGCATACTGGAAAACTTGAAAGAAGTACGTAAGAAGTATGTAAGAAAAAACGAAACTCATTTAACCTTGTTAAACACAAATGAGGCCATAAAAAGTAGTATGTCTGTGAAGACTCTTTAATCGTCCTGATCTCGTCGGGGTCCTTCCGATTTTGTTCGAAAATCCCGAATCCCGATCAATATGCGTTCGGGATAGGAAAATTTCAGATTTCGACAGTTGTTCTGAAATTTTCAAATGAATTGTTATGATACTCATACAATGAAACCACACAGAGTATAGTACTTAGCTGAAAGTGATATCCAGAGCAATTTCAAAAACCGCACAACTTGTATAAAATAAAATTGACTACTTGTACGCGAAGTCACGCCAATAAAAATAAGCATGAAAAGGACAATTGATTTAGAGAACATTTTGGACAGAATTTGTCCTCTCAGAACACTAGAAATGGCGTTTCAGAGCACCAAGATTTCAAAATTTTCTGGGGGAGCATGCCCCCAGACCCCCCTAGTGGCTGGCCCCTTCACTGCTCCCCTGATCCATCGGTCATTAAAAAACAAAAAAAACACGATTTTATGTACTTAGAAAGTTTCACAGTCTTTCTGTGTTAACATGATACCCTCTAAACGAAAAAATAACTAAGGTTAGATAATTAACAAGTTACATAATTAACAAGAAGCTGCAAAAAATCTCTGATCAAAATTTTAATTTTAATTGTTAAAACAATTTTGGGAAGTTAAACATTTATGGGGAATGCCACCGAAAAATTCGGGAGGGTCGACGAAATTTCCGGGAGGACATAAAGTTATTCATAGGACTGCCCAAACAGCCTTTGTTAGAGTTGTCACCCCCCGTGTAAAATGACAAAATTTTAAGTTTACTTGGGAAAAGGAACGGCAAGGCGATAAATTCTACCATCTCTGTCTGAACTCATCAACATGTTGTAAAGCAAATCAGCTAATAGAAGACGAACTGAGAAGCTGCTTTTATTTCAAAATAAAGGAAAATTCAAGATCAATAAATTATAATTTTGTTGATCGCTCAGTAGAAAGACAAGTCGCCATAAGATGCTCAAAGGTTGCCTTCTGTTGAGACTTGGTCCGGTCCCCCCATGTAGGCCGCACCTCCAGGACCGGAAATCTTGCTCGCAGGCTAATTTTTCTTATTAGTACTGAAGCACTTCCGTTAATATATTTTGTCTCGTCAGCTGAATTGTTAAGGAAAAAGACCCCCGTCTGAATGAGGATTCATTAGTCTCCCGACAGCTCGTTTTTAAGCCAGGGCTGTATAACCCGGGTAACTTCCACCGTTATGAAGAAAAATAGGGCAAGTTAGCGTTTTGAAACAAGAAAGAACAATCTAGCATGACAGTATAACATGACTTATTTAACCTAACCGGAAATTCCAAAACTTATTGTCGTTCTACTCTGGAAACGTAACGGGGCCAACTTTTGATGTTTCAAATAGTATATAGTACATTGTAATTATCTTTTTTGTTTTTTGGTGTCGCAAAGCAAATCAACTTTCAGTTCCATTTCTGTCTGGATATTGCATTTAAAGCTCATCTAACTATTCAAGTGAATTTTGACGGGGCGATTTGCAAATAGCATATTGTTTATCCCTTTCTTGTAAGACAGACTTTTCACAAGCAGGGAGAAAATTGCAACATAAGTTAAAGCTTTTCCCGTGGGAACCGTGGGAGGGCATTGTTTCTGCAGCTCCCGCGCAGGCTAATTACACCATCGAATACTGTATTTAGATAATAATTCGGCGCAGCCAAAAAAATAGGGCCAATAACTCCACAAAATAATTTTGTGTTCGTTCCAAATCGACTTCCAAGTCTGTTCGCCAGACGACCTGAAATGAGGCGTCCCCTCCCCGCAAAAATCGGCCCCAGGGAAAGAGGGACATGAACAGTTTTCTAGAAATTCCGTTCCGACCATTTGGTCTCAGGCGGTGTTGGACACGGTCCTCGTGACCAATTTTGTCCAATCAAATCATTGCAGATGGCGGACTGATTCTTTCACCTTTGTGCGGGTAGTGTCTTCGATTTTCTTCGATTTTCGCCGTTTGTCAAGTGATTTACGATAATTTTTTTTGGAAAAGTTTGAGTGGACAGATGTAGCAAGCCGCAGTTCTTATAACAATATGATGTATGCTTGTTTTCTATTGATATTGTTCGTTGTAATTCTTCCTGCGCATAGTCCCT